CATCATGCTGGGTAGAGTGGAGGGACAGCGCAGGAGGGGAAGACCCTCTATGAGGTGGATTGATTCAGTGACTGGGGTAATCGGGATGGGTGTATCGGGGCAATGAGATTGGCACAGGATAGAGCAGGGTTTAGGGCTGTTTGTACATAGGGTCGCTATCAGTCACAAACGACTCGACGGCACATAACAACAACAACATGTATAATTATCAAAAGTTCCTTTTCATGTAGAATTCCTTAGCCTTAAAAAAAGAAAGTTCTTAGTTATCATTTAAGTACATACTTAAACATTGGCTAGACAGTGATGATAAAAGAATGAAAATAACACAATACTTCAATTGTACTTAAAGTACTTATATAAGTGTTAAGTGGATTTACTAGTCTATTAGTGCATATAGCAGGAAAGGTTTATCAGTAGAAAGGACAGAAGGACAGCTTACACCAAAGTACCCGAGTGGTAAAGTAGTTAAGTGCTTGGTCACTAACCAAAAGGTTGGAGGTTCAAACCAACCAGCTGCTTCTCAGGAAAAAGATGAGACAGTAGCTTCCATCTGGAAATACTGGATAGAATAGGGTCATTATGATTTGGAAATGATTTGGTGGCAGAGGGTTTGATTTTCAATAGTTCATACCAGGAGAATAAGTAGGACTCAGAATGGAGGGAGATTGCTGTTGTTATTGTATTCTGAATACAGTAAACCCTATTTGCCAGAGGTTAGAAGCAACATAACAAGAAAAGTGTTCAGCAACTGTAAGTAGTTCAATCTGATTGAAGTTTAGAATAAAAGTGGGAGGAGGAAATGAGAAGAAAGAATGAAGGAGAGGTAATTAGGGTCAAAGTCAATGGTGTTGCCCTTTATTCTGAGGACAATAAGGAACTTTTCTTTTTACCATTACTGTTGACTTGAAACTGACTCATAGCTGACCTTCAGTTGGGTTTCTGAGGTTATAAATCTCCTGGGAGGAGACTGTTCCCCTTTCTCCATCTAAGCCACAGGTCAATCTGAACTGCCACAAAGACATGGTCTTTGGGTTAGCAGCACAACTGCCTATGGACTACATCACCAGAGATCCCCAAAGAGAGGCTAGGAAAGAGTTATTTAAGCAGGTAATTTGAATGGATTTGTGCCCTACAAAAGAACTTTGGGAAATGGATAGGTGCACCTGAAGAAATTTTTTTTAAAAATAGAGAGTATGACAATGATAGAGAAAGGCAAATAATACAGAAATATTTAGGAATCAGAATTAAACAGCACTTGAGGATTGTCTGATTTGTAAGAGAAAAGGTAAAGACATCCAGGTTTTTCTTTTTGGGGACATGACTTTGAAATAAAAAGTAAAGACGGACCAGCAAGTTTTGCTAGGGCAAGGGAAGTAAGAAAAAGGCTGATCTTTGTTTCAGGTGGGCATTAAGTTTTTAAGAAAAACTAGTTTAAAAGCTAATAAGTTGTGGAGGTAGACACTGAACTAAAAGATAGATGTAAAAGTTTAAGTTAAAAAATAGTGAAACTTAAATTCCTTTTTAAAGTTTATAATTTGATGAGGGAATGAGACCTTCAATACTATTTCTATTGTTGCTGTTGTTTTGGTTTTGATTTTTTTTTTTTGTTGTTTTTTGTTTGTTTGTTTGTTTTGGTTGTTTTCTTTGGAATTCTATCTGTGGTTCTCAGTCCTTGCTGTGCATTAACAACACCATCTGGGAAGCTTTAAAATACTCTAATGTTTAGCCTCATGAAAGATCAATAAAATGAGTATTTGGAGGTGGAGTTAAATGTAAGTTTTTTGGGTTTGTTTTTTATTTTAAATTTTTTCTTTTTTTATTTTTTTTTTAGAGGTTTTGGATTTCCATTCATTCATTGCCGCAATTTTCTCCCTGCCCACCCCTCCCCACCAGCTTGCTTCCCCCTCCGAAGAGAGGAAAAAAAAAATTCCTTCATTAGTATACAATTCCCACATCCTTTCCCCCCACCCCCTACCCAAAGTATACTTCTCTATGCAACCTTAATTCTAGATTCCTGTGCTAACCGTAATACTCAATCATATTTTTTTTTAAAGCTCCTTTGGCAATTCACAACCAGAGTGAGGGCTGATAACAATCTTAGTGTTATCTTCCAGATAACATATAGTGAATAAATGTTTTACTGATAACAAATTTTGTTACATTTATTAGTGTTAATACAGCTGAGTATAGAATTTCTATTTTGTAGTAATTTCAGATGGATCTCTGCGTTTTATATTCAAACTTTTATTAATATTTTCGTTTTGTATGATTTATATTTTTATTCCTGCTGTAAAAGATGTAAGCTAAATGAGCATAGTCTCTGTTCATATTTTCTTCATACGCCCGATTTGACATACATGTAATAGATTTGATAAAAATGTGTGAAGTGTATCTGATTATAACTAATTTCTGTATTGCTAATTCAATTCTGTTTTATATATTCAACTCAAACCTGTGCCATACACCTGTGTATATTCAATTAAGAACTGAAAAGAAAAATTATTTTGGTGGGGGGAAAAAGTCCCCTGCCCACAAGTCTTCCTTTATTGCACTGTCCAAATAGTTAAATTACCCATCTCCTACAGCCCACACCCAACTCTGTCATTCTCTTGTTTCTTCATAGTAATAAGAAGTTCTTATTTGTTTGTTTGTTAATGATCTTTTCCTCTAAAAGAATGAGATTTCTTGGTCAACTCTGTACCTCAATACATTTTTTTAAAAAACAAAACATACAAAAACACCAAGGAAAACAATAAAGTCTCAATAAATATGTCATGGCTCAGGAGACAGAATTAGGTAGAGAGAAAGTCATTTAAACAGTAAGCAAAGTCATGTGAAAATAACACTTTAATGTGTTTGATGAGTGGAGGGAAAAAAGAGGAAAAATCCCAAGGATTATCAACTGACAAGGGAAAAACATGACAATGAATGAAGAAAAGCAACTGAAAAGGAGTCAAGAAGGTAGGAATAACTTGAGGAATTTAAGAGCATATTTTAAGAAAAAAAACAACCAACAAGAAAATGTACAAGGACATCAATTAACACGCTATGCAATGAATTTAGCTACAGAAAAGCAACAGATGCTGCCCTGTTAAACCTTGCCACGGTTACTGGAGTGAGATGGTACCTTATTACGGTTTTGATTTGCATCTCTCTTATTGCCAGTGATTTTGCATGTTTTTTCACAAGTCTGCTTGCCATTCAAATATTTTCCTCTGTGAAAATTCTTTCCATATCTTTTGCCCATTTGATATTTGGGTTATCATTCTTTTTTTTTGTGGAGGCCCAGGAGTATTCTGTAAATTTTCATCCTGAGACTTGTCTGAGATGGTATTACCAAAGTTTGTTCCCAGTCAGTAGGTTTTCTTTTCATTCTACTGGGACAAGTTTTTGATGCACACATGGATTTAATCTTTAGACGGCCCCATTCATCAATTTTATCCTCTTCAGACTGTGCATTTCTGGCTGTATTTGGCAGTCTCTTTATACACTGGACTAGTGCTTCTAAGCTTGATCCCAGTTTGTCTCTTATGAACATTATGGTTTGGGGCTTTACTCCCACAGTGGCAAAGTTTAATAGGGCAGCAATTAATAAATGTTGGAGAGGATTTGGCAAGAAAGGAACTCTTATACATTGCTGGTGGGGCTGTAAAATGGTACAACCATTCTGGAAGGCAGTCTGGCACTTCCTCAAAAGGCTGAACATAGAAATTCCATATGACCCAGCTATTCCACTAATTGGAATATATTCTGGTAAAATGAGAACTAACTGAGGCACAAACTGAGACTTGTACACCAATGTCCATAGCAGCATTATTCACTATCACAAGAACATGGAATCAGCCCAGATGTCCAACCACAAACAAACGAATTGATAAAATATGGTACATTCACACAATGGAATACTATGCAGCACACATGAACAATTATTTTGTAAATTATCACCTAACTTGGGAGGGACTGGAGAGCATTATGCTAAGTAAACCAACTCAGTGTCACAAGAACAAATATTGTATAAAACCGTTACTGTAAAATGAGTATAAGAATCCAAGGGGGAGAGGGAAGGTGGAAGTAGAGGGATCAGGATGTGCAGTGGGAGGGAGAATTAATCATGGAGTTGTACAATATGATGTATGAGGAGGCAAAAGAAATTAGAAGAATCTGTTCTGGAAAACAATGTATCTCAATTTTATAAAGAAACTAGTATATTAATTTTAAAAGTAACAGATGATCCGGGCTATAGTCTTGCAATTAAGTGCTATGCACCAGAGAGTTGGACAGTGAATAGGGATGATAGAAAGCGAATTGGTGCCTTTGAGCTGTGGTGCTGGAGAAGAGTGTTGAATATACCATGGACTGCTAGGAGAACAAACAGGTTTGTCCTGGAGAAGGTGAAGCCGGAATGCTCCTTGGAGTCAAGGATTCTGAAGCTTCATCTGGCATACTCTGCGCATGTTGCAAGGAGGGGACTGGTCCTTGGAGAGGGACATCATGTTTGGCAGAGTGGAGGAGCGGCGCAGGAGAGGAAAAGCTTCGATGAGATGGATTGATTCTGTGATTGGGGTGGTGGGAATGAGTGTGTCGGAGACGGCATGGTTGGAACAGGATAGAGCAGCATTTAGGCCTGTTGTACGTAGGGTCGCTACAGGCCACAA